TTGTGCTTGTGCTTGAAATGTCTTTAACTCTACTGAAACTGCCCTCTTGAGGGTCCCCTAATTGATACATGCAGTGGCCATTGCTTAATCATTTTCCTTGACTTTGATCTCAGGTATTTGGCATGGTGAGCTATTCTTTCTTCCTCTCGTGAATCTCCCATTGATTGGCCTGCTTTTTTCTTTTTCTTTCTTTCTTTTTTTTTTTTTTTGAGACAGAGTCTTGCTCTGTTAGTCTTGCTCTGTTGCCCAGGCTGGAGTGCAGTGGCGTGATCTCAGCTCACTGCAGCCTCTGGCTTCAGTGGCTCAAGCGATTCTCCTGCCTCAGCCTCCCGACTAGCTGGGATTACAGGTCTGTGTCACCACCCCCAGCTAATTTTTGTATTTTTAGTAGAGATAGGATTTCACCATGTTGGCCAGGCTGGTCTTGAACTCCTGACCTCAAATGATCCACCCTTCTCGGCCTCCTAGAGTGCTGGGATTACAGGCGTGAGACAGCATGCCCAGCCTTGATTGGCCTTCTTGACTTGAAACTAGTGTGGTCATTTCCTGAAATCTGTGACTGTATTTTCTCGTTTGTCTTTACTGCTTCTCTTCATACATATACCTTGGGGCATTTTCTGAAGCCTAGCTTTGTACCTCTCACCCTCCCCTCCAAAACATGTTCCTTCCCACTCTTCCAGTATATGAGTCCTGGGTAGAGAACTACCTCATTTCCTCACCTCTGCCACCACTTAGTGACCCTCGACTCAGACTTTTCTGCAAGTCAGCTCTTTTTCTCCTGCTCAGTAACCCCTGGACATATTCCTGAGGCCATATTTTCTCCAGGTGAAGAAAATATCACTTCTGGCCAGGCATAGTGGCTCATGTCTGTAATCCCAGCACTTTGGGAGGGCGAGTCGGGCAGATCATGAGGTCAGGAGACCAAGTCCATCCTGGCTAACACAGTGAAACCACATCTCTACTAAAAAAACTACAAAAAAATTAGCCGGGTGTGGTGGTGGGCCCCTGTAGTCCCAGTTACTCTGGAGGCTGAGGTAGGAGAATGGTGTGAACCCGGGAGGCAGTGAGCCGCAATCGCACCACTGCACTCCAGCTTGGGCGACAGAGTGAGACTCCATCTCAAAAAAAAAAAAAAAAAAAAAAAAAAAGAAAATATCATTTCTTTGCAAGGACAAGGTGGGAGTTTTACTTGATCTCAGGAGTTGGAGACCAGCCTGGGCAACATAGTGAGACCTCCGTCTCTTAAAAAAATGAATTTTAGATTGGGCACAGGGGTTCATGCCTGTGATCCCAGAACTTCGGGAGGCCAAGGTGGGAGGATTGCTTGAGATCAGCCTAGGCAACATAGTGAGACCCCAAAATTTTCTAGGTGTGGTGGTCCGTGCCTGTCTTTCCAGCTAGTTGGGAGGCTGAGGCGGGAGGATTGCTTGAGCCTGGGAGGTTAAGGATTCAGTAAACTGTGATTTTGCCCCTGTACTCCAGCCCAAGCAACAGAGAGAGACCCTGTCTCAAAATAAATAAGTAAGTAAATAAATATCACTTATCAAAGTGTCCTGTCCTTCCTGACTCTGAGGTTCTTACCAGCTGATGAATCACATCTTCCTTCTTGATATGGATTGTATTTGCCATTTGCTTTCTATGCCTATACCTTGATTTAGACTTTGTACTTTTTTCCTAAGGGATTTCAGAATTAACGTGGTCCTACTCTGGATGTGAAAGGAACCCAGTGAATTTAGTCATGAATTGAGTTAGCTCACATTTGTGGAGTACCTACAGTATGGCCCAGTTACTTTACTGGAAGATCAGAATACAGAGCCTAACAGCACATCCTGGGAAGAATGCCAAATAAGCAATTGTCATAAAGTATCATAAGCGCCTAGAAGGGGAGACACCAAGTAACCTCTCCCAGTTTTCAGAGATCTTGCATATCTTGTTCACTGCTTTGATCTCCAGGGCCTAGAACACAGTGCGTTAGAAATGAAGTATTTGTTGAAGGAATGAATGATCATCTGAGAATGACATCAGAATAAATGTTACACATATTAGCTATCTATAGAAAAGATATAAGTCGAAAGATATTTTGTAAATGTAGTTTGAAGAATCTCAGGGAAAACTTTAAATTCAACCAAACTGACCCAGCTATAACCCCAGGAAGGCATGCTTGGAATGCGTTTGTAGCCAGAAAGCTTAAACTTAATTTTGTATCCTCAGAAGAAATACTTGTGCTTCTGGGAGAGGATTGGGACAGTGTCTGGAAATTGGGGTGGCGGGTCCAAGAGAGGAATTAAGTGGTGTGTGTGTAGCACTGTCTGGGGCCCTGACCAGAGGAGCAGTGTGCAGTGTTCCCTCCACAAAGCCATCTGCACTAATGCACAGATGGGCGTGTCCCTGTTGTTGCCTCTGGCTTCGAGGGTCTCTCCTTTGCTTAGCGTCTGTCCTCTCAGTACCATCTGAGTAGAAGATAGCTGCATGTGGAGATTTCTTGGTAAGGAGAAAATGTGAGTGGTTGAGAGCTCTGCATCTAAGCTGCTTGGATCCGATCCTGGTCTTGGGATGCTGGCTAATCTTTCAGTTTTCTGATTTGTAGAATGGGGATAATAGTAGCACCTTTCTCTTAGTGTTGCAGTGAGGGCTCTGAGCACACTCCCTGGCACCTGTGATAAATATTCAATGAGAGTATTAGCTCTCGTTGGTGTTTATAAACTAGTAACTGGCCTCTGGTTCATATATCAGTCTTCTTTGAGCTTAGATAGCCTAAATAATCAGTCCCCATGAAACTGCTTGCTTCTGGTTGCATTGAATAAGCTGATAGACATTGGGAAGTAATGACAGATAAGCTGCTCCTAAACTGTTCATCCAGGAAATCCAGCCTGCAGTTCTCGGGAGACTTCCTGGAGAAGGCTGTTCTTGAGCTGAGTACTGTGGGAAAAAGTAAGTCCAGTGCCACAGCAAGAGGGGAGGACTCTTGGGCAGGGGCATGACACGTCCAAAGGTGTGAAGGTGAGAGCAAGCATGAGGTGTTTGAGCTGCAGGAGATTGAGGGTAGAGTCTGGACAGGTGTGAATAAGCAGTAGAGGGAAATGACATTGGAAAGTGGGACCAGTCCTTGAAATAACTGATAACAATGTCTAACGGGGCACTAACAGCACTTCAGGTCCTGTGCTGAGTCCTTCGACTCACTGTGCTAACGAGGTTTGATGCTGAGGGCTTTGTCTATATTGCCTTGTTCAATCCTCACAACAACCCTTTGATGTAGGTACTTACCTCTGGTATGTGTGGCATCATGTCACATGTCACCTGGCAGGTCTCTCTGTTTTTTTTTTTTTTTGAGATGGAATCTTGCTCTGTCACCCTGGCTGGAGTGTAGTGGCAGGCTCTCCGCTCACTGCAACATCCACCTCCCGGGTTCAAGTGATTCTTCTGCCACAGCTTCCTGAGTAACTGGGACTACAGGCGAGTGCCACCATGCCCGGCTTATTTTTGTATTTTCAGTAGAGACAGGGTTTCACCATATTGGCCAGGCTGATCTCGAACTCCTGACCTCGTGATCCACCCACCTCAGCCTCTCAACGTGCTGGAATTACAGGCGTGAGCCACCGCGCTGGCCTCAAAATATGAATTACCTTTTTTTTTTTTTTGGAGGCAGAGTGTCTCTCTCACCCAGGCTGGAGTACAGTGGCACGATCTCAGCTCATTGCAACCTCCACCTCCTGGGTTGAAGTGATTCTCCTGCCTTGGCCTCCCAAGTAGCTGCAATTACACGTATGCACCACCATGTCCAGCTAATTTTTATATTTTTAGTAGAGATGGGGGTTTCACTGTATTGGCTAGGCTGGTTTCGAACTCCTGACCTCAGGCGATCCGCCCGCCTTGGCCTCCCAAAGTGCTGGGATTATAGGCGAGAGCCACCTCACCTGGCCTCTGCTTCTTGATTCAGCCTGCACATGGCTGCCAAGGTAACTCCCACTGTCTTATATAGGTTTAAAAGCTTTTCGTGATCCTGTTTCCTGATGAAGTCCAAGCACACTAAGATTCTCTGACTTCAAGAAAAACCACGAAGTTAAAATGTAAAAATATGTACATCTTAGAATTTAATAAAAACAGCACAGGTGCAGATGTAGATCAAGATTAGAGAAATAATCAGTGAAAAAAGCAAGGTGCAGAACAATGTATATTTGCCCATTTGTGCTTTTCTAATTTTAAACAAATTTCTCCACTTTTGAAGTAATATGTGCTTATTTGTTTAAAAATATATATATAGGCCAGGCATGGTGGCTCACGCCTGTAATCCCAGCACTTTGGGAGGCTGAGGTGGGCAGATCACCTGAGGTCCGGAGTTCAAGACCAGGCTGACGACATGGTGAAACCCCATCTCTACTAGAAATACAAAAATTAACCAGGCATGGTGGTGGGTGCCTGTAATCCCAGCTGCCCGGGAGGCTGCGGCAGGAGAATTGCTTGAACCTGGGAGGCGGAGGTTGCAATGAGTGGAGATCGTGCCACTGCATTCCAGCCTGGGTGACAAAGCGAGACTCCATCTCAAAAATAATAAATAAAATAAATAATGTCTCCCTGTCTCGATAGATAGAGAGAGAGATACACATGAAATAGGTTTATAAGTGCAGAAATAATTTCTGGAATGACAGAAAAGAAACAGTGGTGGTTTTTGGGATGAGACCCCAGAAAACTAGGCTGTTAGGCTGAGTTAGCTTTTTCTTTGCATACCATTTTGTATGGTGTGAATTTTTTTCCCTGTGTATATGTATTTTCTTTCTTTCTTTCTTTTTCTTTTTTTTTTTTCTTGAGACAGAGTCTTGTTCTGTTGTCTAGGCTGGAGTGCAGTGGTACAATCTTGGCTCACTGCAACCTCCGCCTCCTGGGTTGAAGCGATTGTCCTGTCTCAGCCTCCTGAGTAGCTGGGATTACAGGCGCCCGCCACCATGCCTGGCTAATTTTTGTATTTTTAGTAGAGACGGGGTTTCACCATGTTGGCCAGGCTGGTCTCGACCTCCTGAGCTCAAGTGATCCACCCGCCTTAGCCTCCCAAAGTGCTGGGATTACAGGCGTGAGTCACTGCACCCGGCCTATGTTTTCATTTTAACAATAACTTTTATAATAAATGTCTATGATGTACATGGCTGTTGTGTAGAGTGAACGCTGCATAGAGGTTAAGAGTGAGGACTGTGTAAGACGGCTTGGGTTCGAGGCCTGCCCCTGCCTTGACCTCAGTTTACCTCCTCTGAAAATGGAGAGGTAGTAATACCTGCCTCCTGGAGTTGTAGCGAGGCATTACTGAGTTAATATTTGTAAAGTCCTTGGAACAGTTCCCAGGAGGTATGTGTATGTCGTTGTCTGTGTTGCTCTGTCCCTGTGCTGTGCATGACAGTAAGTGTAAAGATGTGTCCAGCCTCTGTCTCTGATGCTCCCAGTTCATTTGGAAAGGGAGAGCACCAGCTAATGACAGAGACGGCAGAGGTTGCAGGAGTCAGAAAAGGCTCCTTGGGAGCTAAGGTGGCCGAAGATGGTTTCATCAAAACGGCGGATGTTAAATATGGGTAATTTCTAGAGGGAAAATAACACAAAGGGACTTTTTCCAAGGTTGTGTGTCCCAGCCAGCCTGAGGCAGGCAGAGGAGTCAGAAACAGGACAAGAGCTTTGAGGAGGCCTGAAATTGGGACATGTCATGTGATGGCATGTCATTGTTATATGGCAGAGTTTTTCTTGGCATATATATGAGACAATGATATGATTTGTAGATGACGGCATCTTTGACTCAATGAAGTGTGGTGGCTCTGCCTTGATGTTTGGAATGGCTGTGAGGTGTTCCTGTGTGATGTATTTAACAATCCTCGTAATGCAGGGCACGTGGGTTATTGCTCATAGCCAGTGTTGCTAGTGAGTGTTCTTGACGCAGGCTTCTACATTAACTGTGAGTCTGTTTTAGGATTCATGCCTAGATAGAGTATTGCTTTCTTTTTTTTTTCAGTCATTTTGATTATGTTCCTTGTGTCTGGGCCACTGTCAGGTAAGTGTTTTTTCAAACTGACAGTTGCAAAGAATCATAATGGGAAGATTTTTGAAAGTGGAATTAGAGCGAGATACTACCTGAAAGAAAATATAATTTTCTTACTAAAAATGATTTTGGGATTAAGTACTAGCTAGATGCTAATTATGGCCAGGAAACCTGGAAATACCTCACCCCACCCCCAGGTCCCAGAGGTGGATGTATGTGCATGGGAACAGAGGCGGGGGGGAAAGCTGGCTTGGTTCCCAGATTTGGGTGCCGCAGGTTCTGGTGACCTAGGCAGGAAGAGGCAGAAGTGGTTCCTCTCACTAGCCACAAGGACATGTGCTGCTTCTGGGTGTCAAGGTGGGAGAGAATGCACTGCAACCTTGTGCTTGAGTCACTTTGTAATGTACTTTGTAATTCGAGGTGATGCCACTCCTCAACTGTGTCCCTTCTGTTCTTTCCTCTGGCTTGGGGTTGAAAGAGGAGGGAGTGGTGGGCAGGGAAATGGGAGGAGCCATGACCTCTTTCCCCTCCAGCGCACAGGGCACTACTTCTTTTAGTTTGTTGCCTGGACTTAGGAGTTGGGCCCGGAGCTGCAGGAAAGTAAGTTTTATTTCTGAAAGTTGTTTTAACTTAATAGATTTTGGGGGTTCGAGGAAGTTTGTTTTCAACTAGTAGAAGACCAGAATTAAGAATTGCAGTGGAAGATGAAATGCTACCCTCTTACTAGTCCAGGGCCTCTTTCAGAGCAGTAGCTTTCATTTATGTAGACTGAGGGTATGGCGGAGGCTGTGCTTTATGGATGTAATCTTCAGCAGTACTGAGGCACAAGAGTTAGGCGACTTGCTCAAAGTTAGTAAGTGCCATTTATTCAGCTGATATTTACTAAGAGCAGGAATTCACATCTAGATCAGTCTGATTCCCATACCCATACCCGTAACTACTGCATTTTGGAAGTGTGGGGTTTCTATGAAGTTTCTTTGTATTGGAGCATCTACCTGAAAGGCGAGGAGCATTTTCTCCTTTTCCCTTATTAACAGTAAGCTCCTTGAGAGCAAGCATTATGTCTGTCTCTTCACTACTGCATCCTGGATGCTGGGAGCAGTGCTATGCACTTAGTAGAACCTTGGTGAACGTTTGAGTATGTGAAGGCTTATGGCGCAGATAAGTGGCAGAGTTGGAAGCCAGCCAGGAGGTGAACCATTGCGGGCCTGCTCCCTGGGGCTGTCTTCCCTGCCTAGCGAGTGGATGGTGAGGAATCACCTAGAATTTTCTCATTTTTTAATGTTTGACCTGCTGAAATATTTCTAGGGAAGAATGGGCTCCCTGGCTGTGACTCTGATTTTCTGTTTTTATTTTTTAATTTTTATTTTTTTGAGACAGAGGAGTCTCGCTCTGTCGCCCAGGCTGGAGTGAGTGGCATGATCTCGGCTCACTGCAGCCTCTGCCTCCTGGGTTCAAGCGATTCTCCTGCCTCAGGCTCCTGAGTAGCTGGGACTACAGGCGCCCGCCACCACACCCAGCTAATTTTTGTATTTTTAGTAGAGATGGGGTTTCGCCATGTTGGCCAGGATGGTCTCGATCTCTTGACCTCGGCCTCCCAAAGTGCTGGAATTACAGGTGTGAGCCATTGCACCAGGCGACTTTCTAGTCTTTTTGAGGGATGGGAAGGTTTGCTGGGTATGCAGAATTGGAGTCAGTGTTCTCAGCTTGGAAGAGATGTTACAATTTAGTGATAACATTTTTTATGGATGCCTTAAATTCTCAGAAACGGTCTTGAATCTTAAGTTTATCTAAAATTTATATATATAATCCCTCTCCATAGTAAGAAAAAAAATTTCTAAATTATAGTTTGATTTATCTGTTAATATATAAGCTTCTGGATAAATACTTGTTTTTTTTTTACCCATGTGAGGTTAATTTTGGATAGGTTCCATAGTGCAAAGTTGTTAAGAATGGCAGTATAGAATTTTTAAGTTTTCTTGGGCCAAACATGGTAGTTTATGCCTATATCCCAGCACTTTGAAGGGCTTAGGTGGGAGGATCGCTTGAGGCCAGGAGTTCAAGACCAACCTGAACAACACAGCAAGACCCCGTCTCTGCAAAAAAAAATAAAAAATTACCCAGGCATGATGGTGTGTGCCTATAGTTCCAGCTACTTGGGAGGCTGAGGTAGGAAGTTGCCTGAAGCCCGGGAGATCGAGGCTACAGTGAGCCGTGATCACACAGCTGCGGTACTTTAGCCTTGGCTACAGAGCAAGAGACTGTAGGGTCTCACTGCAGCCTCAATCTCCCTGGCTCAAACCATCCTCCTACCTCAGCCTCCCAAGTAACTGGGACTACAGATATATGCCAGCACACTGGGCTAATTTTTTTTGTTTACTTTTAGTAGAGTCAAAGTCTTGCTATGTTGCCCAGGCTGTTCTTGAGCTCCTGAGCTCAAGCAGTCTTCCTACCTTGGCCTCCCAAAGTGCTGAGATTACAGGTATGAGCCACAGCGTCCAGCCAAGACCCTGTCTTTAAAAAAATAAGTAAAAACAAAAACAAAAAAATATAATTTTAAGTCTTCTTAAATAACTTTCTAATGGACATAATTAGTTTTCAGTAGTCCAACCATTTTTTACGTTTTGAAAACTTTTTGGGATACCTGGGCTTTTTCACATTGTACCACACTGTAACAAAAATAAACTGCAGGTTTCTAACTGGTGTAGATTTTTTTTTTTTTTTTTTTTTTTTTTTTTTTTTTACAAATTAGGTTTGAATAAATTATGTAATTGCTTTGTGATTTTTTTTTTTTTTTTGAGACGGAGTCTTGCTCTGTTGCCCAGGCTGGAGTGCAGTGGGGTGATCTTGGCTCACTGCAACCTCCACCTTCCAGGTTCAAGCGATTCTCCTGCCTCAGCCTCCTGAGTAGCTGGGATTGCAGGTGCCTGCCACCATGCCTGGCTAATTTTTGTATTTTTAGTAGAGATGGGGTTTCATCATGTTGGCCAGGCTGGTCTCGAATTCCTGACCTCAAGTGATCCACCTGCCTCAGCCTCCCAAAGTGCTGGGATTACAGGCGTGAGCTACCGCACCTGGTGCTTTGTGCTTTTTTTTTTTTTTTTTGAGATAGGTCTTGCTCTGTCGCCCAGGTGGGAGTGCAGTGGCACCATCTTGGCTCACTGCAAGCTCCGCCTCCTGAGTTCATGCCATTCTCCTGCCTCAGCCTCCCGAGTAGCTGGGACTACAGGCGCCTACCACCACAGCCGGCTAATTTTTTGTATTTTTAGTAGAGATGGGGTTTCACTGTGTTAGCCAGGATGGTCTCGATTTCCTTACCTGGTGATCCGCCTGCCTAGGCTCCCAAAGTGCTGGGATTACAGGTGTGAGCCACTGCGTCCAGTCTGTGATTTAAAAAAAAAAAAAAATTTACTTAGAAATAAATTATTTTCATTCCCTGATTTATATTTGAATTTCCACCAACAACACAATTTGTTGTCATGTTTTCATAGTACTTGGGAACATTTGATGCAGAAATTTTTAATGGTCCAAGAGTATTTTAGTAAATAGATGAAACCTTCATTTTACCTGAAAAAACTTTTTCGGAAGTTTAGGAGCCAGCTTTGTTCATCCTTTGGTGATGGGTGGTGGTTTGTATGTGTTTGTAGACAAAACTTTCCTTGGCGGGGATTTGCCCCTTTTTTTTTGTTGTTTCTTCTTTCTTTGAAGGTCTCTGTTTAACAAAGATTTTTTTTGGCTCACAGTGTTCCTCTAATAGAATTCCTTCAAGAGTTCTAATACTAGTTTTGTTTTGCTTTGTTTTGATGGCAGCAGGTTCTGAGAATGAGCTTTTGACTTCATAAGAAGACTAAAACAATAGTCTTAGAGTACAGTTAAGTCAATTTATTACCAGAAAATCAGACAGACAGCTGGGTCTGTCCTCATCAGGACCAAGTAATACTGGATTTTTTTTTTTCATTAAATGTTCACTATTTTTCTTTGTATGAAATTGAGGCCAGGCATAGTGACTCACACTTGTAATCCCAGCACTTTGGGAGGGTGAGGTGGGAGGATTGGTTGAGTCCAGGAGTTTGAGACTGGCCTGGGCAACACTGTGAGACCCCATCTCTTAAAAAAACAGGCCGGGCGCGGTGGCTCAAGCCTGTAATCCCAGCACTTTGGGAGGCCGAGACGGGCGGATCACGAGGTCAGGAGATCGAGAGCATCCTGGCTAACACGGCGAAACCCCGTCTCTACTAAAAAAATACAAAAAATTAGCCGGGCATGGTGGCAGGTGCCTGTAGTCCCAGCTACTCAGGAGGCTGAGGCAGGAGAATGGCGTAAACCTGGGAGGCGGAACTTGCAGTGAGCTGAGATCCAGCCACTGCACTCCAGCCTGGGCGACAGAGCGAGACTCCGTCTCAAAAAACAAAACAAAACAAAACAAAAGAAAGAAAAAAGAAATTCAATATGTGGTGATTACTACCCGTTTCATTTACTTTTTTCCTTATTAATGTAGTGACTGCTTAAAAAAATGTTATGCATTGATCTTCCTGTTCCTCCCCCACCAAAAATAAAAGCAAAAACAACAAACCACCCCTCAATTGAAACAAAATTAAGCCTGTTCTTTATCTATATGACTACTTAGCACATTTGACCTATTTTTTTAAGACCTCTGTTATTTTGAAAGTAAATTTTGGCTCCGTTGACCTTGTGGTTAGAAAAGTTGTTCTTCTGCTTAAATGAAATGATCAGTTGTTTGTAGATTACCAAATATAAAAGCTCTTCAGAACCGCTAATGATAAGTTGCTTTGGCTTCATAGAGGAACACCATGGTTTGTGGTGGTAGATTGTTACAGAGTGAATGTCAGTACCAGAGGCGGTCATGGATCACCACGTGGAAGCAGGTTGTTCCCACGTGAGACTGGTAGCAAGCAGGTGGTGCATCTGTCTCCTTTCCCACTGCATCCTGGGTGTCTGGAGCCTCACAGGGTTGACCTGTGTCACTGGCGGGGGGGGGGGTGGGGATGGTTGTAGAAGCCTCCTTATTTTACTTATGATAGATTCTGACACTGATTAGAAGGTTTATTCAGTAGTTTTTTTCCTATCCGCCTGAGTTTTCATAGCTCAATATAGGATAACCTGGGCTTCGGACTTTGTCAACCAATCAGTTATATAGTAGCTCTGTTTTGTTTTTAAAATTTATTTCTCAGGCCGGGCGCGGTGGCTCAAGCCTGTAATCCCAGCACTTTGGGAGGCCGAGACGGGCGGATCACAAGGTCAGGAGATCGAGACCATCCTGGCTAACACGGCGAAACCCCGTCTCTACTAAAAACACAAAAAATTAGCCGGGCGAGGTGGCGGCGCCTGTGGTCCCAGCTACTCGGGAGGCTGAGGCAGGAGAATGGCGTGAACCCGGGAGGCGGAGCTTGCAGTGAGCTGAGATCTGGCCACTGCACTCCAGCCTGGGCGACAGAGCGAGACTCCGTCTCAAAAAAAATAAATAAAATAAAATAAAATTTATTTCTCTTTCTTTCTTTCCGTCTTTCCGTCCTTCCTTCCTTCCGTCCTTCTGTCCTTCTGTCCTTTCCTTTCCTTTCCTCTCCTGTCCTGTTCTGTCC